TGTTCATATTCATTTTTATTTTATTTTATATTTTCCCAAAATACTTTTGTATGTTGCAATATTCATTGAATTTTGAGTCTTTCTTTGCATTCTGGAGGCTGTTGAGAAGAGAAGCAACCAACATTATACAAAGTATCTTTCTCCATTGGGTATCATATATTGAAATGTGTATAAGAAAATACACATAAGAATTCCAGTTTGACTGTTTAAATGACATCACCTTGAGTAACTTAAAATTAGTTTCAGCCTGGGAATGTTAGAATTGACCAGAAACAATTATGTAAGCATACACAAAACACAATCCTTGAAATGAAATGTAGCAACATTCAAATACTCGAGGGGAAAAAAAATAAAATAAGAATAAATTTGAACTTTGGTAAATTTACAAATTACATAAAACAACTTATTCAGAAATTTGAAAAAGTTAATAAAAAATTGAAGAAACGGAACTTGCCGATATTATTCAACCAAACATGTTTTTATATATATATATATATATATATATATATATATATATATATATATAGAATAGAAATCCAAATTTAACTCATTCAAATAGGTATTTCAACCAACAAGTCCTATGTTGGCATTGCCAACTCAGAAGTGTGAAAGAATAAAATAGGAACTTAAAATTTAAACATTTATAAAATAAAAAAAACAGAAAGAAGAGAAAAAGGAAAACAAAAAAAGGGAAAAAAAGAGAGAAAGAAGTAAAGAAAGGAGGAGGCAGGCTGATGAAAATATAGACATTATGTTAAGTATCATTAGGAAGGAGAGCTGTAAGTGTCTGGCTTAAATAGTGACAATTTATATAACCTTGACCTATATTTTAAAATATTAACTTCCCAAGTCAGGTTGAAAATGAATCACAAAATTAAAGATATGAGTTCAAACAGTTTTAAAATTTAAAATAGAAAATAGTAAATATTAGCTATAAACTAAAGAACAAAAAATATATTTTCTGCTTTTTTAGAAAAAAATTACCAAATTTATGCTAGCAAAAAATATAAGAAAAATGATAACCATAAATAAATAATTTATATAAAGAAAAACTAACTTAAAAATATTTAAGTTAAAAAATATAACTTAAAAATATTTAATTGTATTTGTTAAAAAAATTTTCTCCTATTTTTTCCTTATGATATTTTATCTTCATAAATTTTATTATCATTATCTATTTATGGTTATATTAACTATCTCTATTTAAGCCAGACACTTCCACTCACCTCCCATAATACGGGGGCTTAACTTAATATCTATATTATCATTGGCTGCCTCCTGCTTCCTTTTTTTCTCTCTTTTTTTTCTTTTTTCCTTTTTCTCTTTTTTTATTTTTTTAATGTTTAAATTTTAAGTTTCTATTTTATTCCCTCATACTTCTGAGTTGACAATGCCAACATAGGACTTGTTGGTTGAAATAGCTATTTGAATGAGGTAAATTTGGATTTTTATTATATTTTATATATTTATTTAACACCCAAAAACCAACAAAAGAACGTATGGAAAATTTGATATGCACATGATATACACATTTGATATGCACATGATATACTGATGTCAACAGGGACATTTATTGCTCCCATGATAACTAAAATTTTCAAAAAATTTAAAATGAAACATCAACTACCATCTTCTGTCTTCTTGAAGCTTGTTCCTTTCTTCAATCCTTCCTATCGTCATTCTTTACTTTCACTTTCACTCCTTGTAATTCCATGCATAACAGTAGCATTTCTGCCTTGTTTCGAGTGAAATGATTAAAAAAAAGATACAAAGGATAGGAAGTTGGGGAGAGCCCTGAATTCTTCAGTCCTGAAGGGATATTGTACATAGAAGAAGAAGAAAATAACAAGATGAAGAAACTATTTATGTTAGTTACATTTTTCGGACTGTTTGGTAGAGTAATAACTTCTCAATGCAAAGAGTAACAGACAAACTTCTATGACTACAGAATATGTTTGTCTGAGCAATATTGACATATTTGACATCATGTTTTTTTTGTTAATTGACAGATATCTCAGATATGCCAAAGACCAACAAAATGGAGGCTGAATCTGGAACTGTCAAATCAAGGCATTTGTTATGCAGACAGTCAGATCAAGAGAGTTCTACTTATTTCAGGATTCATTTGAAGCAATGTCTGAATGAAATATTAAATGATGAGATTTTATCCTATGAATTATTCAATCTCCTATCTTCGTCTCTGTTCCTTTTAACATAACTAGCATAATGTCTGTCAAAAATGATAGCATTATTTATAGATGTATAGGCATTTTGGCTTAGAATCAAAGTGTCACACTCAGGTCAGAGGATCAGCGTAATATCTGTGGGCACTGTGAAAAGTGTTATAGGCACAACGACCCACACACATACATATAGAGGGTGCGATGGATAAATTGTCGTCTAAATTACACAGAAATGAAAATAAAACTGACATCTCATTTTAAAAGAAAATTACATAAAAATATCTTTAAATACTAAAGAGTAAATTTATTCAATAAAATCATCATTGGCTTCAACAACGGCTTCCAGACGACTTCAGAATCTCCTGCAACTCTTCTGTATGGTTTCCTTGTTTAAGTTGGTAAAAGCTGCCATAATCGATGTTTTCTGTTCATCTTTGGTGTTACAAGGAGTTTTTGTTGGTCTCTCATTCAACTGTGCCTCACGCATAATAATCAAGGGAGTTGCAATCTGGAGAGTTAGGTGGCCAGATTTAAGGAGTGATATGGTTGCAGAAAATGTCTGACAGCCATGACTTGGTTCTTCTGCCTGTGTAGCATGGTGCAGAGTCCTGTTGCCAGACTTAGGGTCTTCCTGCATCCAGCTGCTTGACCCAAGGCAGCACTACCTTTGCAAGGCACTTGCTGTAGGCCTCCGTGTTGACTCTAAGGCCCTGTGGGAAGATGAATGGAGGCATAATGTCACTAGTGATCACTCCAAACACCATAAAGTTTGCAAATCCTCTGCTCTGTCATCAGATTGACACTCAAACACTGAAATGTTTGTATTGGAGCTTTTGGCACAAATGGCAAGCAGTACAACATGCTGTTTCCAAATTTCTGGCAGAGTTAATTGCATCATGGTGCTCTTTTTCTCACAGACAGTACCCAACTGACCTCACTATATCATGCAGTCAACAAAATCAGAAACAAACAACACACAAGTGCAAAATATGAAATGGTGACAATTTAGCCAATCATATCCTGTGCATATATATATATATATATAAAAGTTCAGAGCAGATAACATTAGAATGATTTTAGAGTCCCATGAAAATAAGTGGATACAACGTCTAAAAACACAATATCCAGCCGGGCTAAACCATAAATTTAACAATATAGATAGTACTAATATATAACTCAACAAATTAAAACCTACCCACATTTCTCACCCACACAAGACAGACATGCTTATGGAGGTGTGGAGGCCTCACACTTATACACACACCCACATGAATATATATATAACAACTTAAAAGAGACTTTGACCAACAAAAGGAATGTTAAAAGATTCATGTTAAAAAGATAAACAAATAAAAAAAACAAATGAGAACTACAGACAAAAGTTCATTTTCTCCATCAAGACATTCATTTCAGCAAGCAGAAATATTTCTTCTCCTGATGATGGCCATTTTGGCTGAAACTAGTCAAGGAATCTAAATGAAATAATAATAAAAAATGAAAGAATATTAATCTACAACCTAGTGTGTCTGAAGATTTTAATTTTTTAATATTTTTTTATTGTTCAAAAAAAAAAAAAAAATATATATATATATATATATATATATATATATATATATGAAAAAAGATGTTGAAAATGCAACTGATGTGTTTAAGAATATTTATTTACAGTAACTTTACCGGTTTCACGGTTCTATTGTTTTTAAAAGCTAAATTGATATGAAGAGATGTGTGGGTATGTCATGATGTTTTACATCTAACTGGAGTTGGAGAATTCTTTGCATTATTTGCATAAGATGGGCTCTGATTGCTATCTGTTTGAAAAGCAATCTGATTGTTTGATTATGAACACAAGATCAGGCATAGTAATTTTTGTGCCAAAAATTGATGATCAAAAAATTTTATTGTCAAAAATTGGGAGTGTCATAGTTCAATGAGCATGGTTCATGACAGCAAAGTGTTAAGTAGTTCAAGTGTCAAGAATTCTATTTTATTAGACCTTAGTGGCAATCCAAAAATGTTCACTGTACAATGATTAAATTTATGTGTGTGTGTAGAAATAGTCAGAATATGCAGCATAATGACACATCAAATAAAAATGATAATAGTAATAATAATAATTATGATGGCAAAATAAACAAGAATTTTACAAGTGTGAATCATCCCCATTCCCCTTGTATTCTAATAATAAGAAGTAAGTTCCCTTTAGACAGCTTCTTCCCAACAACTACTGCTTTGTGGAAGAGTCCTAGCAGGATGTTTTCCCAATCCTTACAATCTTGACCCTTTCAAGTCTAGGGTAAACCATTATCTTTCTTGCATAGGCCCATAAAATCCACTTCTTGACCTTATTTACACTTTTACACCACCCCATAATAACCCTCTAACTTGAGTGGCTCTTGGTCCTTGTATTGGGTGAACATTAATATTAAAAGAAAATCATCTTTTTATACGTTCATTGACATAGAAACAATTATAAAAAAAACTAAACAGTGTCACCTTCAGCTTAGAAAAAAGCAGAAATATCAAAAATGAAATGCAAAAATAAATCCTTTAACTATTTTTTTTTCTTTTGATTGATTTCTATGGGTTATCAACCATTTGCAGGTGATTTAAAGCTCGAAAATATTTTTAGATTGTAAGAATTTTTTGGGAGATAATAATGATTTTGTGATTCAAATCTTATTAATTAACTCATAGCTGGGGAGAGAAGAGCTGGATTAATTGCTTTCCCAAGATGAATATAATGAACCCAATGGGAATTGGAACTCAGCTCTCCGATTAACAATTCTGAGCCATTATACTATATACACATCCAAGATTACAGCACCTGGTATTACCAAGCAGTCACCAATCTAGGTATTGACCAGGCTCAATGTTGCTTAACTTTGGTGTTCATATGGGAACTAGTGTTTCAATATGATGAGGCCATAAGCATTTTGATTATTTCTGTCTGAATTTTTGTGATTAAGTGTTATCATTATTTACATTCAAACTAATATCCTTATCTTTGTTGTTATTAACACAATGTTTCAGCCATTGTGCCCTATGACCTTCTTCAGATATCTGTCAATCTGGGTAATCTTCAGGGAAATTTGAACTAAACCCTTTATTTAATGTATGTTCTTGTTCTGCTGTTCTTATCTAGGGATAATTCCACTTAAATCTATTTGGCAGTAAAATCAAAGATGAAATAGGAAAATGAGAGCTTTTATTATTTTGCCTGAATTTCTGGGATTAGGAGTTATTTTTACTTACCTTCAGATTAATGTCCTTATCTTTGTTGTTATTATCACAACATTTAGGCCATTGTGCCCTCTTCAGGTTTTTGTTAATTTGGTTGACCTTCAAGAAATTTCCAAGTGAACATTTTATTTAATCTATGGTAGTAGACTGTATTTTTCTAGTTCTTTTTTGGCAATGCTAAATTATTACTTGCCCTGTTTCTACTAAGTCAAAGTATTCTACTGGGCCAAGTCATCGAACTTTCAATTACTATTTACATTCAGACTAATACTCTCACTTTTCTTGTTATTATCACAATGTTTCAACCATTGTACCCTGTAGCCTTCTTCAGATGTCTGTTGATTCAATTATTAGTTTCTTTCAACACAAACATAAACAATGATTAATCTTTTTATTCCTACTCAATTTTTTTTAAACTCTCCCCAAGACAGATTTCTACTTAAGTGATTTCAGAAGATGAACAACTATTTCATTGCACAACTGTATTGTTACTGAAATCAAAGTTCCCTCAAAGACAATGAAAAATGTTTTTATATAGAAGACATAATTCAAAACCAAAAACCCTCACAAAAACTTCAGCAGATAATTACAAAGTCACAATCATTGCCAGATAACTACTCACAACCTTTCAAGATGAACTGGTGCCAACTTCTACATTGATGTAAAACTTCTGCTATGAATCATTTCAATTTTTACATTTACTTTGTTCTCTAAGTAAAGATGACCATTAGCCAATATAATGGTCTTTAATCTTGCCATTACTGAAAAAAATACAATTCTTTTGAAAAATGGCTTCATTTACTCATTCTGATTACAAATAACCAATGTTTGCGACAGAGATGGTATGCATACAACCAGCATCATTACCATTATTGTATTTTATGCAGTACTAGTAGAACTAGCTTTGCCTGGGTTTATAGTGAAGCTTAGATGTGACACAAGGCCAAAAGTATGGAGCACCCAGTGAGGACTGAACTCACTACTCAGTCAAAATTGATCTAGCAAGATAAGCTTGCTATTACACCACATTGGTGTGTGCACTGATTTTCTAAGCATAGCATGGATGTGGCACAAGGTTGAAAGTATGGAGCATCCTTTGGGGTAAGTAGCCACAACTAAATGCAAAATAAGTGACAGAACTGTCCAACAAACAGAATTGACAAAGTTTGCAGTAAGCAATAACAAGAAAAAGAAAAAGAAAGAACAGAGCAAGAAATAAAACAAAGCAAGCAAACAATATATACAAGGCAAATTAACAGTTTTTCCTGACTACATAAATTTAAGTGTGCTACTAGACTGTCATCTAGAACCCACCCTTTTATCATTGAAATAGTTAAAATGCAACTGTCAATTCTACTCCAAAAGATTCTTTTCTCACACTTCCCCAATGTGGAATTCCTTCTGTTTACTTGCTTCCTTGATAACTACAATCTCCAAAAATTTAAATGCAACATCAATTGCCATCTGATGTCTTCAACCTCATTCTTTTATCCTTTCCTCATTCTCAATATACAGTTTTTCTCTAACCTTCACTCAATGTAAACTCCTAGAAATCAGTGGCATTCTCACTTTGCTTGGGGTGAAATACTTAAAAAAATAAAAAAAAAAAAAATAAGGCAAAGCAACAGTAATATGGCAAAAAATCCAAAAACTAAGAATTAGGTTGACAAGTTCAGACAAGCAAATGTAGCATTCTGAATTCAAGACAAGACAGTCTGGGACTGAATCAGATGAAAGTGAGAACCAACCTATTTTATTGTTTAGGAAAAAATCCCAGTATGCATTTGCATGTTTTTGCCTATAAATTTGGGAGGGACAAGTGTTTTGTAGTCATTCAAATTAGTATTGGAACCAACACATCCAGTGAAGATTAAACTCACTACTCAGTCATAATTGATCTAGTGAGACAAACTTGTTAACCATTATACCACATTGAAGTGCCCAATGATTTTCTAACCATTACACCACAAAGTACCCCTTGCCTGGCTTTATAAATGCATTACATGTGTTCACAATACCATGTATCAATTGCTCAAAGATGTTAACACACTTCACTTGATCCAGGAATGTTGATTCAATCAAAATTGTTGCATCAGAGCACACAAAAAAATCTATTTTCTTTATATTATTTACATTCAGACTAATGTACTCATCTTTGTTGTTATTATCAAAATGTTGCAGCCATTGTTTTCTTTGTCCTTCTTCAGGTGTATACCAATTTCTATGCAAAGTAGTATATAAATAAATAATTTTCTTATATATAAGAAAATTACATTTATGACTTATTATTTCTATAATACTTGCCACTGGAATTTTGCATACAAAATGACAAAAATAAGTCTTATGTGTTTTGAAGCAAGAATTGATTGATTGCTCTGGTTTTTATGTCTTTCAAACCTTTTCTATTATTTAAAATGAAAACATAATTTGGATTGTAAAATTTTTTTAGTGAATATTCTATTCAAGATTTTTCTAAATACAATCCTTCTATATATATATATATATATATATATATATATATATATTTATTATATAAATTATTTAAAATTATCAACATGTTATAACATCACTACAAAAATAGCCATTTGTTTCAACACTTCTGATGTCTTCTCAAGTGATGGTGTTAAATGTAGAATAAAATCTACATTCAACACCATCACTTGAGAAAACGCCAGAAGTGCTGAAACAAAATGGCTATTTTTGTAGTAATGTTATAGCATGTTTATGTCATAATTTTTGAATAAATAATATTTGCTCTCTTTCAAGAATAGTGTTTTTGATTATTGGAATTTTATTCTATTTACACCAATCCTATACTTGTGTGTATATATACATATATATATATATATATATATATATATATATATATATATATATATAAATTCAGTTATTTATTTTTACTTTTTTTAATTGTAGATATGTAAAGCTTGGCATGCGTTGTAAGAAAGCTATAACCTCAGAAGAGATGATTGTAAAGTTAGAGAGTGATGTAAACATAATGCTGGAAAATATGAAAAAGTTGAACGAAAACTGAGAAAACAACAACAAAAAAAGAAATTGAAAGGAAAAGAAATTGAACTTTAGTGATGAATTATGTTCAAAATATTTATTCAAACACATTTGGTATCTGCTTTTGACATGAGATGCATATCAGCATATTTTTTATGACTTAATTTGTAATGATATAATATTCAGTTTCAATTAACTTCATATAAATGTTCATATTTAATTGGGTTTTTTAAGCTTTTCACCCCAAGCAAGGCAGGAGTGCCACTAGCATGCAAGGGGTTATAGAGATTGAGGGTAAAAGTAAAGAGGCATAATAGAGGAAAGGATGAAGAGAAGGATGGGAAATAGATCAAGGCATCTGGAGATGTCAATTGACATTACATTTGAATAGTTAGAGATTATAGCTCTCAGAGAAGCAAGTAAGAGTAAGGGAATTCCACAAATGGGAAGTGCAAGACATGAAGCTATTGGAGTAGAAGAGACAGCTACATTTAACTGTTTCAAAAGTGAAAAGTTGGGACTGAGATGTCAGTCTAGTAGCACGTTTAAATTCATGCAGTTTGAGAACTAGCAAAAGTAGATTGTTGGAGCAGTTACAATGAAAATATTTGTAGAAAAGACAGAGGAAGGTGACGGCAAGTCTGTGAGAGAGTGACTCTAAATGAGATGCCAAATCAGGGCCAATTCCATGGCATATTCATCTCTGGATTTTGTTGAGGACCTTAAGATGAACAACGGGAACTTGAGACCATATATGGCAGCAGTATTCCATGCGAGAGCAAACAGTTGCTTTATAGATTTGAAGGATGGACTTGGGCAAGAAAAACGTTGCAACACATAGAAGCAATTTTCCTTGCAGTAGATGAAGCTATTGATTCCATGTATTTGTTCCATCTCAGGTCAGCAGACAGTGTGTGACCAAGCAGTTGCAAAGATGTGCTCTTGTGGAGTTGAGCATCAGACATACTAATGGAAAACAGTGGTGGGGGGTTCTGTGGTGTACAATGATAGCTATCATATCACTATAGATTCTTTAAAAGTATATTGCTAACATGGTTATACTTTGTTTACTGTTTCTAACATGGAAGTTGAAATCACAGTTTTAAACTATTATGCATTTCTTTATTTAAAAAAAAAACATTAAAAGTTGTATTATATATGCATAAGATTGTGTAAATTATTAAAAGTGTCAAAAGTGGTTTGTATTTTTTTGTCCAAGAGATTTATTGCTGAATTTTGCTTCATGGTCAAGTAGAACAATTGAGATTGGTAGCAATCAAATAATAGGAATGAATTTAAAATAATCAATATTATATGACAAAAGCATTGATGAAGAGTAAGAAAATTTATTAAAGAAACTGCATACATTAGTCTTGTAGAGTTAGGTTGGGAAGGATTTTATGGCTAAACAAGAAAGAGATTAAGAGACTAAAATTGCATACAAAGTTTAACATCATCCTCAAGCCTTGAAATTTGGCTTCATAGGTTGGTCTAATCTGTATATTTACTATCATTTTTTATATATTGGCTACCACTTTCTGGTTTTTATTGTCTATTTAGGAAAAGAGAAAACCTCTTTCTTTCCATATGGACTGAACATTTGAAGAGAGAATGCAGTATCGATAATCAAAAACTTTTGTAATAAATGATATAATTATATCATCACTTTT